ATTTGTGGTGCAAATCACAGATTCATACCAATTGTTATTGAAAGTGTACCAGTTAACTATTTCTTAAAGTGAATCTCAACCATAAATTAATTATCATTAGATGACTGAAAGCAAGTAATGGTCTCTTAAACCACATTATAGTAAATTAGCAATTACTTCTAATGAAAACCTATTTCAAAAAATTAGTTAAGTAATAACATTAGTATGTCAAACTAAAATCATTAGAAGACTAATATTTTTTAATTCCTCAAATAGCTCCACTTAGTTGATTAAGCCTGTATATTGTTTTTACAATTACATTAATTATGTTTTGTATTATAAATTACTACATTTTTATTCCTTCAGCCCCTAAAACATCTGAAAAAGACAAAGCTTTGTCTAACTCAATAAATTGAAAATGATAACTAATTTATTTTCTGTATTTGACCCTTCATCAAGAATTTTTAGCTTGTCATTAAACTGATTAAGAACATTTTTAGGTCTTTTGATAATTCCCCCGTTATTTTGATTAATTCCGTCTCGATTTCATATTATCTGAAATTCAGTTTTATTAACTTTGCATAAGGAATTTAAAACCCTTCTGGGCCCAACAGGCCATAACGGTAGAACATTCATTTTCATTTCTTTATTTTCAATAATTGTCTTCAATAATTTTATAGGATTATTCCCCTATATTTTTACTAGAACTAGCCACATAGCTCTATGTTTAGCTCTTGCTTTACCCCTTTGATTAAGATTTATACTATATGGTTGAATCAATCATACTCAGCATATATTTGCCCACTTAGTCCCTCAAGGAACCCCAGCCGTATTAATACCTTTTATAGTATGCATTGAAACTATTAGAAACGTAATTCGGCCAGGTACATTAGCTGTTCGATTAACAGCAAATATAATTGCAGGACACTTGCTACTAACTCTTATAGGAAATACAGGGCCCGCTCTCTCGGTTATTATGGCCTCTTTCTTAGTTATTGCTCAAATTGCCCTTTTTAATTCCATTAAAATTTTCAGAACATATGAAGAGTGTGATTGGACACATCTTATCAAAATTTTATAATAATATCTTCGTTAGTGTTTGAAATATTTAAAAAAAACCTTTTTGATTTGTATGGCAGCTAACCGAACTCGTTGTTCGAATTGCTCCAATTACAATAGGGTTCGTTCCTCGCACAAAAGAAAAAACTTGTGAAGGTTTGGTATCAATTGCATTATTTGCATTTATTTTTTGATTTATAGTGCGAAACGATTGCATTTCTTTTTGGGTTATCGTGCGATCGGACGGACGGGCGGACATGGCTAAATTAGCGGATACGAGTCTTTCAAGTGATTACAAACTGCATACCAAAGCGAAATTTCACGAAGATGAAAGGTATAAAAATTATTTAGAGTATAAAAATTAGTATTCTAATTCCAAAAATGAAATATGAAATAAAAAATCATGCACATAACCGACCGCAATATGTATTTTTTAGTTAAGTGAATGTGTTACAGAATACTGTAAAAATGTCTGTTAAATACTTCTTTCCAATTTTTAGAGCATAAGATAGCTTTTAGTTAACATACCTAGAAAAATGTAAATTTGCCTCTTAGTAGAGTTTCAGTTTGTTTATTTAAATTCCCTGAAATGCTCGCCAGTTAGTTTCGGTAACAACCAGAACTCAAATATCAAATTTCAAGAAATTCTATCAATCCGTTCCGTAGATATGGTAAAAAATGTAAAATCGGCCTCTAGATCAGTTTCCGAGCCCTGATCTTTCCAACAAATTTATATCTTCATTGCTTTAATACGAAGAATTTAAATATTAAATTTCAAGGAAATCGATTGATTATTCCTCTTCATATACGCAAAAAATGTATATTTGGATCTCAGTAAACCCCCAGTTGCTGGCACCTGATTTCTACCAAAAGTTAGGAGGTTCCGCGTACGGTCGATTGAAGCTTATACGAAATTTCAAGTAAATCTGTTGAATATTTTCTTTATAATGAAATAAAAAATGTAAAACAAAAATGTAATAATTTTTTCTTGGAACAAAGATTTATTGCCAGCAAATTCAAAAAACAACGTAAGTATAATTATGTACATGTGTATGCCATGTAGTGTTCTTTATCGTCACATTAATATTCGAAAATGTAGTGAAAGCTTATATACTATGCAGCGATTTCAAAAGCTTTTCGTTGTTGTAAAACTAATGGTATTTAAACTGTTTTAAAACTTTTTATACTGCGTTTTGGAAGTCTTGGAAAGTTAAGAAGAAAAGCATAAATCGTACAAGCAATTTTGCATCAATGATTATGTAAAGGTTTTAATAAATAAATTTGTATATGTAAATTTTAAATATATATTGCAAGTAAATTTGTCATGGATATGTTTTATATATATACATATATGCGTATGCATATAAGAATAAAAATAAATATTTTGTACATATCAGGGCGCAGCTTTGATAATTGCATTTTATAACAAAATATATATTTGCATAATACAAGCATGTACATATGTCATCATAATGATGATAATCAAGATTACAATCAACTGGTCTTTAAATAATTTATTTAATGATTACTAATAACGATTATTTCTTATAAAAACACATAGAGAAACAGAAACATGCCAGTTTTTGTCAATAAATGATTTAGTGAAAATAATAAATGGTGCCTGATAAAGAGTTTAACGATTTGTACCGCATTTTTAGGTATAATAATTTTCAAATCATTTACTTATGTCGGAAATTGTAATAATTTAAATAAAAATTTGGTTTTATTTTTCATTTTTGTAGTTGTTCATGTGAAACGCATTTTTTTTAAATCTCAGTAATGCATCCTTGTAATAATGTAAGAAGATCTTGTTACAAATTTTGTATCTTGCCAACCTCAATTGATTTTCTGGTTTAAAATTGTATTGGATATTGTTCTGTGAACGAAAATATTTCCTAGGTTAATGCCTCTTTTACAGTACATACTAAAATTTTTTAAATTTATTGAAGAATATTATTTATGCATATATACATACATATGTGTAAATGAAAATAAATACGAGTATTTACATAAATCTAATCTAAAATAAAGAAATTTACAATATTTGAATTTTTCTTTTCAATTCAATTTTCTTATGAATGGATAGTAAATTAATCGAAACTACATTTTTTGAAAATGGATATTTCTCATTTACTTTGTACAAAATGAATACAAACTAAAGAGTATGTATAAAATTTCTCAATAATAGTGTATTCGTGCCAAATTTACTTCGAAACAAAGACAAAAAATTAAATTTTTGTGCGAGATTATTTCCTATTCTTTCCATCCATAATCTATTCAATATGAAAATCTGTATGAAGTATGATCAGAGTCGCATTTGACACCGAAATTTTTCTGGGGATTTTAAGAGAAAATGTAAAGGTTAAAATCTTCAATTAGCTGTATTTCAAGCAAAAGAAAAATGAATTATAAATAAACTTTAATTAAAACATAAATTTTAGGGCCAGTAAAGCTGGTAATTCTTTAAATTTCCAAATATTTCTATTTTGAGTACTTTTAATTCCATTCAAAGAAAATTAAGTATCAACCAGAGGAAGGTCGTGTCATTAGATAATTTCGTGCAAAGATAACTTTGTAAACTTTGTTTCGATAATTAACATTGCTTTGTAGGACCGAGGTTAGAAAAATTAAATTCTTTTTGTGTAAACAACTGAAATTAATATAATTTTGCTCGTCTAAATTTGCGTTGTAAATAGTTTAAATTGGATTAAATTGTTAATTTTAACAAATTATCAAATTCTTCTAAAAATTTCGAGCAAAAAAGTTTTGCAGGAAGATATGAGTTGAAAGAAGGCACATTATTTTTTTGTTCGAAAATTCCTTTGCGACTCTGAAAATATAGAATAAAACATTCTCGTGAACTAAATAAAATCTACAATCATAAACACATTTATGTATTTATGTAAGATCAGAACAGTGCTACCAAATAGATAAGTCCAAATATCTTCATGTTTTTTAAAATCTTTATTTTGAAGATTCGATAAGAAAAAAAATTTTCCTGAACCCTTCGAGATCTTCAATTGAAATTAATATGAAAAGTGTAAGAAGCCAAAATATCACGATTTTCATTTGAACCAAATCAGACATCAAAAAGATAAATTTATGACATACACAATGACGTATGATGTTATAAGCCGTATGCGCATTTAGTTATTGCGCCATTAAGTATAGAATTATATTATAAATTGGAGAATATCAAAATTTTTTTCTTTTATGAAACTAGCGTTACCATGCGTTGCCTATTAAATTGACTTTTTGGTTAAAATGTTTTTTTGAAAACTTTGGAAAATATGGAAAAAGGTGCAAAAAATGCCAATTTTGAAAAACTGAAAATAAATCTGCACTTTTGGCAGCGCTGGATCAGAACAAAAGGAAATTTGTTATTTTGTTTTACTTATACTTTATCACGTTTTTCTGTTCTCAGAAATTCATTTAAAGAGAGTATGAAACAGATGAAGAGCCGTAATGTAATATAGTCAAACATTCCCAATTACGAAAAAAAGACAGAGCGAAATTTTTGTACTTTTTAAAATAAAACGTAAAATAAACAAATAATGCAGCCTCATTGTACGTAACACTCCCACATAAACGAATATATTCTTACGTGTGGGTATGTATGTATTTCTACATTTTTATTTTCCGAAAACTTCAAAATCAAATTAAAAAAAAAAAGTTCGGTAAACATTGACGAAATAAATTTAATTCACTGATCAAAAAAATTTGTTTTTCATTAAAAATAGTTCCCAGAAACAAGTGGGTCATTCAACAATTATAAGCGAACTGAAAAACTTAAATTAAATTTTTATACAAAAAAAAACAAGAAAATATCTATAAACTTTTTTCTTTTTTTACTAACAAAAAAATATTTTACTTGAAAAATATTAAAAGTAAAAAACTTCGACTGGAGAAACGGGGGTTGAACTCAAAAAGTTTTACTTTAAATGCTTTTCAAGTGCTATTGAGAAAGGAAAGAATTTTACTATGGGAAAATTTTTTGCTTTGCGTCTATTTTTTAAAATATTTGTAATTTTAAACATTTTGTTTTTAATAAACTGTGATGAATACGACTCAATTTCAACATTTCAATTGCAAACTGGTTATAATAAACCATTAGATTTTGTAACGCCACAATTATATATAAACGGTAACAATGCTGTTAAAACCATGCGAAAAACAAAGCAATTATTTAATAATTATGTTGGTAAATTAAAGCAGTTACTAAAAGATTCAAAACGTCTTGAATCACCTGAACCCATCTATAATTTTTATTATGAAATTTCAATATCAATCGTTAATTTAGAACGAAATACAAAGAAATTTTACCAGACAGCGCGCAGTGAATCATTGAATTTATTGGGTAGCTTGAAGAAAATTCAGTTACGTTATATTAAACCACCAATTAAAGATGAATTGTCAGATTATTATCATGAAATGGACCAATTCATGTATGTATTTATTACAACAATTGATAATTTTGATGAATTCATAATTGAACAATTGCGGCGTATACGAATGACATATGAAAATGTTGCTAATATACAAAAGGATATTTTAGGTAGACAGAAATTATTACAAGAAGATTGGTGTCAAACAAATTATAAGCAATTTTTATTGCTAACAACATCACAAATTTATAAATGTTCAACAGCAAATATGAAAATTGTTTATGATGTTTTTGCCATATCAAAACTAAATATTTATTATTTAATACAACAGTTGGAACATCGTCTACAAAAAGTTTTCAATTGCTTCGAAAAGAAAAATTATCAATTATATTGTAGATTTATTAAAGAATCGGAAAATGAATTTGAAAATATTTTTAATAAATTAAGTGAATTATTAATTTATAATGACAAACAAAAATTAAATCGTAATTTATTGATGAAAGGATACCAAAAAAATAATAATTATGACAATAAAAATAATAACCATAATGGTAAAAATAATAAAAACGAAAATTACAATAACAACACTCAAGAAATGAAGGAGAAAATTTATTGCTTACCGGAAAATTATCCAAATGAGCAACTAATGGACGGTTTACAAGCATGCTTTTCATATTGGGATTAAATTTATGAATAACTCTTGGACTCTAATTGGAGTTCATCACTTTAGTAAAGTTTTTGTGCATAAACAATGTACGTACATACAATTTAGTTGTGTTAGATGTGAACATTAAAAAGATACATTAAAGATTTTATTGATTTTTATTAGTTTAATTGGATTTATGTTATTGAAGGTGTTTTAATATTTTGAATAAAATCTATTGAAAGTTGTAACAAATTGTTTACAGATTTTATTAAAAATTTATGTTCAAGTTAAAATGGAGCAAAAACTATGGAAAATGGTTATTCATCTTCTTAGGCTCTTATTTGTCTAAGCAAATTATTCAAAATCAAAAGCAGCCTCATTTAGAATTTTTTTATCTTCTTTTTTATAGGATTAGTAACAGAATGTATGTGTGTATGTAAATGGAATTTAGCATATCCAAGAACATGAATTAATTTGCGAAAAATAATTGTAATTGAAAAAGATGAGCAGCAGAGGAAGTGCCGAAAGGTTATCTTTTATTTATTTTAACTCTTATTTAATTCTAATTTAAAGTTCATAATAATAGTTTTTTAATAGTTTTGTGTCTTAATAAATAAAATAAAAGTAATTACAGTGAGCTGAAAAAAAAGTAATGAAGCTGAATTTTAACACAAGCAATTTGCTTATTGGGATTGTTAGCATTTTTATTAATGAATTATTCTAATTTAAGGGGTTTTCAACTGATACTGAATTTTTATTTTTAAAAGACGTAACGATGCGTGGTAGTAACATAATCTAACTAAATCATAAGGAACAAATTGCACAATCATAAGTTTGTTTTTTGCTTCATTGGTTTACAAAGTGACTAGACTAAATTGAGTTTGGTACGTAGGTCACTATTTATATTTCGGGTCTAGCAATAAAAAACAAACATTTATCATTGGAAATGGTTTTATTGTTTTTCAAAATATTCCCCATGAAGATCAATACACTTTTGCATGCGCTGAAACCAATTTTCGTAGCACTTTTTCCACTCCGATTGAGACACCTCCAAAACATGGTTTTTGAACGCATCGACTGCTTCTTCAGGTGTTGAAAATCGTTGTCCACGCATTTTTTTTTTGATGTGAGGGAATAAGAAGAAGTCATTGGGTGCTAAGTCAGGACTGTACGGCGGATGACCCATCAATTCGACATTTTGAGTGCTCAAATAGTACATTGTTTCAGCTGATTTGTGAGAGCTTGCATTGTCATGATGAAGAATGATTCGCCGGCGCTTGTTTGTTTTCCTTATTTCTTCGAAAACTTTCGGCAAACAGATGGTGGTGTATCATTCAGAATTGACCGTCCTACGTTCCACTAAAGGTACTGTGGCCACATGACCGGTTATACCAAAAAAAAAACGCGATCATTTGCTTCGATGGGCTTCTTCCACGAACAACTTTTGTTGGATTTGGGTCGTCTTGGAACACCCATACGGTCGATTGCTGTTTCGTTTCGGGCTCATATGCATAGATCCATGATTCATCACCTGTGACTATCTTATAAACGTCTTTTGACGCACCGCGATTGAATTTTTTCAACATTTCTTTGCTCCAATCGACACGAGCCTTCTTTTGTGCAATCGTCAAATTTTTTGGGATCCATCGACAACACACCTTTTTCACGGCAAGATGTTCATGCAATATCTTATGTACGCTGGTGGAACTAATGCCCAAGGATGCCTCAATCTCACAGTATGTCACATGCCGGTCCATCATTATCATTTCGCGCACAGCATCGATGGTTTAAGGCAAAACGACCGAAATTGGCCGACCTTCACGAAATTCATCCTGGAGCGAACGGCGTCCGAAACCAAACTCTTGGTACCAGCGATTTATAGTGGTTTTTGATGGTGCTTCATCACCAAAAGTTGAAACAAGTTGATCGAGACACTCTTGTCTCGATAATCCGCGCCGAAAATCGTAAAAAATCATCGCACGAAAATTTTCACGGGACAATTCCATTTTTTGACCGAGATGAATTTTTCAAGTCACTGTAAACAAAATAATTCGCGCTCGAATGACAAAACGTTCTGAGTGGAGTTGTCCTAAAAAATGTCAAACTTTCCAATGGAAGTGTCAGATTGCACCTGGCAGCACTAGTATTGCCAGGACCCGAAATATAAATAGTGACCCTCGTATTCTTTATATTTATTGTAATTATAGATTAAAACACTGTTGTTTTTACAACTCTAACTTTCAAATACTGCTGAATTATACCAAAAAAATATCAAACTGATTTCCTAAATCAAATATAATTAACTTAATCAAAGTTTCTCTCAGTATATTCCTTATAAATTAATCAAATAGTTTACAACAAAAAATTATTAATTTTTGATAGTTGTAGTTAATATATTAATTATCAATGAAGTAAATATAAAAGCATATTACTTTTACTTTGTTTTATCATATCATCTATGCGTTGGGTAATTTCTTTTTTACCAATTTCAATTTTAATTCGACTCCCAGCAATACATGGTAAATTGAACAATTCTTCTATTAATAATTTATATATTTCTGACTGAAGTGCACTAATTTTGGATGGAAACTCTTTGATTGTAACCAGAAAAACATCTTTTGTTTTAATTAAGCATGATTGTATACGACTTATATCCCAGCCACCATCAAATATACATTTTTGTACAGAATCAACCAGTGCTCTAGCTAATGGTAATGTTTCATTTACTAGTGTTTCACATTTGTCAAATAGATTTCGTATCGGTTTTATAGCTCCTTCTGAACAAGAATAAACATCAACTATACTTTTATTACTAAATTCTTCAACAATTTTCATTCCTTCATCATATCTATGTGGTGCCTCAGTTTTTAATCTTAATTCCAAATAATCTCTCCAGTCTTGTAATTGTGTTGTTGCATTAAATAACGTATGATTAGCTTTATCCATAGCTTCATCGAACTTAATATTTAAGATATCTAATACACTGTTAATGGAGCCCTCAAATTTGTCTAATATTCCATGTATTTGGTCACCCAACATAATAAGATAATCATCAGCTAAATCCTTTAATTTCATTATTTGACTTCCTAATCTGATGACTACCTCAAAATTGGATCCCTTCCATTTTGATATAATACTCATAATTTTATTAACAATGGAAGACATAACTTTCAAAAATGCTGATGAAGTTCCTTTGGCTGCGTTTTTAATCCAACCAAGAAAATCATCCATAATTCCAGTAGGGGCTATTGCAGCTAATTCATAGTTGTCAGCCCATGTTGAGCTAATAAATACCGTTAGACCGAATAGTAATAATATTGTGAATTTCATTTTAGTGACTAAATTTGATTCGAAGTTACCACGATTTATTTATAGAATATTTTATTAAGTTGAAAACTTCTATTTTTTGACCACCTATTAAACTTGAGGTTCGATTAGATATGATTGTATAAAAATACATTTGCTGTTAAGATAACTGTTAAATGATAACTGTTGATAAGATTTCGTGAGTATTTTTACTGATTTGATTCAAAAATAACAATTCCTTTTGTTTTGCATGATTTGTTAACTGGTAATCTAATCTTTATTTGCAACTTTTTAAAAATTGCTAGTTTCTGACAAGTGGTGCTTTTACCTACTTTACATTTACATATTGATTTTAAAAATTGTTTCGTTATATCTTCTAGGTGCTTTGGTACAAAAATGTTAACAATAGACATAATCAAAGTTAACTTGTCTTTTATGGGAGAACTACTCAATTTATAGAGCTAATATAATGTTGAACATGTATATACAATTAATACTTAAGTTTTAGACAAAGTTTTTAATTGATTAAATTTGTTTTCCATACATATACAATTGAGACAACCAAATTAACTTTAACAACTTACACAATCGCGATAGCTAAAGTAAGATTAATTATAATATTAATTTAATTGCTATTTTAAAATAATAAAATTTATGTTCGGCAAGAAATTAATTTGTAAGGATTAAAATTAAGACAATATGCTATTTTGGTTCATTTATAATTTTAGCTGTATTTTTTCCCTTAAACAGAATCACTAATATTTTCTGAAGACAGCTTGTCACCTCATGTTAAGTTTATTTACTTAAACAAAATCTAATCAATTTTATATTTTTCTTTTTTTAAAAAACTTTTGATTCAAGAAATTTCAAAATTCATTTTAGAGCTTACGTTACTAAAAATTCCTTATTACAGACTTTATACTTGAAATACATAAGTATTTGTTACCTTGTTCGGGTAAAGCGTAAATTCATGCCTCCTTTTCAATTTTACAAAATTTCAACCACATCAAAAGGTTGCTGCTTTTTATAATGTATACAGGGTTTTTCTTTTAAACAAATATTCTGGCTTTGTTTAGCTTTATATCGAATACTATGGCTCAGATCAAATAGATTGTAATACCGAAAATAATAAAGTTGGGTCAAACCGATTTGGGAAAAAAATTTTCTTCTAACGAAACGAACTATTGGTTATTGTCTAAAAGCCCATAATTTCAAGTTCTACAGGCTGGAGTCTAGAAGAAAAACGAAATCAAAAATTTGGAAAAAAGAGACTTTAGATAACGGTAAATTTGAACTTCCATTTTGTTTTTCTAAAGTTTAACTACAGTATACCGCGTTAGGGAAAGCACGCCGCTGCCTTTCTGCGTTTGCAAAATTTCAAAAATGTTTATGGTTTCATTGCAACAAATAGTTAAAAATATAGGGTGAGATAGGTAAAAATTTTGTTCTACGGAAATAAGTTTCTAGTAAAGATCTATGTACATACAAAACTTCAAATTTCTATCTTCAAGAGTGTAGAAGTTTTGTAAACAGACACACGGACAGACGAGCGGACGGACGAACGGACGGGCGGACAGAGTGAAACTAATAAGCACTTTTTTTCAAAATTTTTTTGGAAAAGTGCTAAATAGCAATCACCGTATGTTGCGTAGTTCAGAAGTTATAATCTTTTTTTTTATGGAGGAAAATTTTTTTTTTTCAAAAACGAGCTAACTACAAAACTAATAAGTATATCTGCATCTCATGTGAACATGTATATAAAGCGAATAAAAGAAACAAAAACAAACTTTCAAAGATTTTTTGTTATCTTACGAAGAATGGCTGCTATTGTAACTTAACCAGTTCAAACATTAGTTTATATTTGTTATGAAATTTTTGAAACCTACCAGAATTTCATTTTTGATGGTAAGAAATCGCAATGATCTTATATAACCGTAGAGTTGTAAAATTATTGTCATATAATTTATTCCCCGTAAATTAATTTTTGTTGCAGAGCATTTTTTCGAAAAATTTTGATTTAGTTTTCGAATTTTATAGTTCTAAATTGTGTGCGTTAATGTAGTACTACAATGCAAGCAAGACGTTAATTTATTTTACTACATTGCATTTGCAAAATTGGAGATATTTTATTAAATGCAAGTGCTTCCTTTTTACCGACCGTATTGTGTAAACAATAGGTAGGTTATGTGATGGCAACAAATTTTGCATATCGAGTTTTCGGCGGGAATGCACTTCTCCATAGTAGGGAAGCGTAAATAAACTATTTTTAGCAACCTGTCGGTCCGTCGGTCTGTCGGTCTGTCCGTCTGTCGGTCTGTGTGTGCACGCGTGTATTTTAAGTTCTGCTGAACCGATTTTGATGAAATTTTATATGTAAGTTTATTTCCACCATGGCACGGATTGATTAACTTTTGGGATATATCAGGCCTCGGGAACTGCATTTTTTAGCGGGCCTGTTTTACATTTTTGAACATTTTAAAGAAAGTATTCAACCGATTTGCTTGAAATTTCATATATAAGCTTTTCTCGACAGTCCGCGAAAATTGCTAACTTTTGAAAGAAATCAGGCATTAGCAACTGGACGTTTACTACGGGCCAAATATACATTTTTGCGTATATAAAGAGAAATAATTGACCGATTTCATTGAAATTTAATATTTGAATTCCCCGTATTAAAACAATGAACATATAAATTTTTTGGAAAGATCAGGGCTCGAAAACTGATTTGCGGGCCGATTTTACATTTTTCACCATATCTACAGAACGAATTGATCGAATTCCTTGAAATTTAATATTTGGGTTCTGGTTAACTGGCGAGCATTTCTGGGAATTCGGGTAGCACCAAGCGAAACTCTACTAAGAGCCAAATTTACATTTTTCTGGGTATATTAACTATAAGCTTACTAATGTCCTAAAAATTGGAAAGAAGTATTTAAAAGACATTTTTATAATATTCTGTAACCCTTTCACTTAACTAGACAATATACAATGCGGTCGGTTATGTGCTGACCACATCAGATTTTTTTAGAATATTACACGAGTAGAAAGTTTCACGGTACTTTTTACTTATGTTTGGGGGAGTTAAAAGGGAGAAAATGAACATATTGCCGGTTTTTTTTCTTTTGATAGCATTGTGTAAAATATTTTAAAGTTCGACTCACAATGCTTAGAAATAGAAAAACAAAGACTTAAAATTATTATTAAAACAATGAATTCTTAAAGTGAAGAGTTCATTAACAAGAAGAATAAAATACAAAAAGTTATACAATTTTGAGTGAGACTTCCATTAATCTTCAATGTTTCAATTACAACGACGTATTTTCATAAATTCTGTTCAAAGACTGTTCTTCTTCATCTTTTTTTGTTTTAACAGTTTCAAAATTTTTTTGTTCTGCTGATCCAACTTTCAAGAAGTTGTAACAAAGAAAACTGAAACAATTTTATTTTTTGTACAAACGTGATACAAAAATATTTGACGTGGTCAGCACATAACCCAACGCAATATATATTGGCTAATTTAGTGAAAGTTTTACAGAGAATTAAGAAAATGCTTTTAAACAGTTCTTTCTAATTTTTGGGAAGTAAGTAAGCTTTTAGTTAAAATTCATCGAAAAATGTGAATTTGCCTCTTAGTAGGGTTTCGGTTTGTGCCATCCGATTTCTTTGAAAAGTTCGCCAGTTAGCTTTTCAAAATATCAGTTTAAAAAATTTCATCAATTAGTTCCGTAGATGTGATAAAGAATGTAAAATCAGGTACTAGATCGGTTTCCGAGCCGTGATCTTTCGAAAAATTTTATAGGTTCGTTGTTTCAATAGCCCGAATATATATTAAATTTCAAGGAAATTGGTTGTTTATTCCTTTTTATATGTGTAAAAATATAAAGTCGGCCCGCAAAAAGATACTGTTCCCGATTCCTAATATATCCCAAAAGTTGATCATTCCGTAACAAAGCTAAGATAAACTCACATATAAAGGTTAATCAAAATCATTTCAGCCGAACTTAAGATACGAGCGTGCACACACGAACCGACAGGCACATAGACAAACAAACAGAGCGACATCACTCTAAAATTGTAAAATTGTAATTTGTTTACGCTTCCCTACTATTGGAAGCGTGTTTCCAAAGGAAACTCGACATCCAAAGTTTGGTGCCATCACATAATCTCCCTTGTTGTATGCAATATGGCCGATAAAAATGACGATAATGGATAAAGACAAAAGCCGGAAACAATAAAACGTAAACTAGTTGCAGAATAATATGCAATAATTAATAATTTTGTATATAAAAATATGTTTCTTTACTGAAATAGTGAATTATGAGTTCTAAATTCTGCACAATCAGTAAACAAAATATAATTCAACACCAAACCTCAAAATTATTTTGTTCTTATCGCTTTTATTATCATATCTGATTTTTAAATTTGGAATTTTTTATGAGTTTAATTTTATTGAGAGCGCAAAGAGTAACGCTTTATAGTTAAAATAATTAATACATACACCACCTGATTACGAAACTGCAAATAGAAAAGTAATGTCACTGAAAATAGAAACTTAAGATTAACTTCTGATGTTATACTCAATTTGAATTGTTGTTATTCAATGAGCCGTACAAGAGAGCAAAAATTCAATTCCATTTGAAATTTGCTTCAAAAAGTGTAGGATTTAGCTGCTTCATGAAGTTAATTAATGTACATGACCAACTTAAAAGCAATTACATACAAAATAATAATAAAACTGTCAGTTAGATCCTTTTTAATTTTTAATTCTTCAAAAAGAATTGAAAAGATACGAGAAGAAAATCGAAAATTGTGCAAAGAATTGATTTCCATTTAGCGTGCTTTAATTTTACCAACGTTAACCATTTTGAAATATTTGTGAATTCAATGTGATTATAAGAGAAATTTTTATATTGTTTTTAAATAAATAAAATATGATATTATTGAAAAAGGAATACGTGAATTATATGACAAGTTTTAGAAGAATGAAATACGGAAACACGCTAGCGGTTTTTAAGGAAAAAAAGTTTTAAAAAATCATGTAGTCATTTTTGTATTAAAAGACCCATGTTTATGTGAATGCATTTATATATACATTTATATTAACCTTATAAACCATTTTTAATATTCGAAGTGATGTCTTCGGTTAAAGAATACTCTTATTTGTTTTATACTGGTGGTATTGTTCTTGTTAAATGATAGGAAGTTGTAATATTTATGGCAATTTGTTGCTTAACTGTCTATTTTGGTGCCAACCTGGGAAAGGAGAATATAGGAAAAGTAAAACTAATTAATTAAAGATAATTTTTGCAAATTATTTAGCAATCTTCACAGTAATGAAATATATCTTATATCATATATTTGGCATCACTATTATTTTAATGTACTTTTTGTTTCAATTGAATAAAGCATAGTTTCAATGAAATAAATGCTAAAAATTTATATTTTTGATTTAATAATGTTTCAACGAACTTAACTATTTTAAAGGATATGTAAAGCAAATGGAAAATTTGCGAGATTTAAAAAAGGGTATCGTGTATACAATATATAAGAATCTGCTTTATAAAAATTTGTTTAAACAAATCGTCTTTTCTTTATGAGTAATTTTGTGTTTCTACTTATATAAATTATAATTTTAACCAAAACATTTTTTCTAGATCAATATACTTTTTTTCATTTCAGATCTCAAGATACGTGCCAGATAACAAAAACTCAATATATTTATAAAGAATCTCAAGTTCAATGTTGAAAGCTCCTAAGAATTTCCAACAAAAGTAGTTTTTTAATGTAAAATACGGCTGTTTAATTAAAAACTTTAACTCAGTAATTTTTCGCACAAAAAATATTCAGGTTACTCATATACGCAATTTAAACTAATAAAACTAATAAACCAATGAGACATCCAAAAGAACAGTTGTATAATCACAAACAATTAACTATAAGATATTACAATATGGAAAATAACCAACAAATGACTGTAGAAAATGATGAATTTTCAAATCAAAAAACAGCACCAGCAGTAGAAGTTTTAAATATAGGATCAATAATTGAAGAGAATTCAATGGTGACATGTCAACAATTATTTTTGTCATCTAATAGTGGTTTAACAAAAAAAATCGAATCCATTCAATTGAATGAATCATCATCACCAACTTTAGTACCATTATCATCAAATTCATCATCATTACAATTACAACAAAATTTAACAAATAGTGATATAAATCAACAATCAAACTTATTAGAAACTATACCAATACCTGGTGATAATTTATCTAATTTATTAAATAACATTGAATGCGATATTAATATTAAAAGTGATACTAGTTCTAAATTATTAAACTTAAAAATAAGTAAATCGAATCAAGATGTTGTAGTAGTTAATAATGATGAAGTAGTCAATAATGATGGAGTAGTTAATAATGATATTATTGTTGAAGAACGTAAGAAATCAAAAAATTCTACTGAAGATATTATAATACCACCACAACCATTACATCCAGATACATATTTAAACTTCCCGCATTATATTGATTATAATAATTTTTCAACCAATTACAATAATCCATCATCACAAAATACTAATATTTCTGATAATAAAACTATTAATAAAAATAATGTTGTTGCTTCCGCTTTGGCTTTAAACCATAAAAATGGTACTAATTCTACTTTAAATAATATAACTACTACTAATAATACTAATATTAATAACTGTATGCAATCATTGTCATTAAGTATTACTAATGTCAAAGTAATTACCGAAAATTCTGATACTAATACTATTGGAACTAGTGTTGGCACAAATATAAATGATAATCATAATATTATAAGTTCAACTTCATCAAATCAAAGTACATTTAATGATGAAAACAATGATAATTCTCTAACAACATCTCCTTCATCTTTAGTAAATATAAAAGGTCATGATAAAGAAATTTGTAGCAAAATAACACCTAAACTATCATCAGATGATAAAGTTACTAAATCAACTAGTATTAATTTAACAGATAATAGTAGTATTAATGATGATATGCTATGCTCTGCTTCCCCACCTAAAAATATATGCTTGCAAAAATCCTCCACTAATATAACATCTATTCAATTAACAGAATCATTTTTACAAACACCATCAATATCTGTAACAATCCATCATCCACAACCACAATCCGTTACCATATTTCCAGCACAAACACATTTAAATTCCCCATCATCTAGTTCTTCTTTTACTTCGAGTACAATCAGTTATTATGAAAATGATCCTTTTGTTAATCCTGCATCTGTCACTATAGCAAATAAAATACAAATGCAAAAAAGTACTTCCCAACAGCTTAATGCTTCTAATGCGTCAAATGCTTCTTCATTAAAATTTCAAGATAATATTTTAGCTTATAAAAGGTATTTATTTTCACCTAAAACTCAATCATTAGATTTAGGAAGTGATCCCGACCATCCAACTGTATTAAGATACCGTAATCCTAGACTTCAACAAGAGGAACGTTTTTATGAAGATTCTCTTACATTGAATGATGTTAATGATGCGATATTAAAAAATCATGGCCAAAAAAATAATATTAAAGCAGAAAATATTTTAAATAATATATTACCAGTTTCAAATTCAACAGCAACGTCAACTAACATATTAGGAACATCAATGGCGTCCCCATCAAATTGTGATTTAAGACGTGAGCTTCTTCAAAAGAACGCAGATGAAGCACTAAATGCTGGTAGATTATCACCGCCAATATTATGCACAATATCAATGACATCAACAAATAATTCAACAATGTCTAGTGAAGAAAGCGATACGGTAAGCTATAATACACCAACCTCAGTCTCATCAACATCCGATAATTCAGCAATAAATTCTTCTACATCAATACTGAAACCAAAATTACAAACAGCCTTAGAATCAAGACCAATTTATCCTAATGTACCATATAGCCCTTACAGCAGTCCTCGTACTAGACGTAGGCCTCCATTACGAGAATCCAGAAGAGTATCAATCGACAAATCGGGTAGTTTTTTGCAGCTAAATCAATATAAACTAATGGATCAAATTGGACAGGTAAAAAATATTTGGGAAAATATATTTTGTATTAAAAAAGAAAATTAAATTAGATTGTAATTAAAGCTTGTTTATTTCTTCAACTTATTCAGCACTTCGTCTTTTTTTAAATTTAATCATTTTTCTTCTAATTTAAAACGAGAATATTTTGCTCTCATACACTGTGTAGGTCAAACCCTGTGATTCACTCAAGAGGATTAAATTTAATTTAAAAATTTATTATCTTAAATTTATCTTACTGTTGTATGTCAAAAACTTAAATCTAGCTAATTTCGTTTACCAAAACATACTGTTTAACAAGTTTATATTGCAGTTATATTAAACTATCATTTAAAATTTTTGTCAGGAAATTTTTATTACTCTTGTCTCGGTATAAGTACTTCGAACTAAACCAAATACACAAACTCTTCAATCATTTGAATCGCTTTCCAATCAAAATGATCTACCAAAATTTAAGAAGAAAAGCTCATACAGGACATAGACGTTCAATTTTTCCATTAAGGAAATTTGCACTGTATTACAATATCAACTTTTCCTGTCTTACTGCCACTAAAATTTTACGATTTTCATTATATTAATTTTTCAACTACTAGTTTTCTTAAAGCAAAAACTGGAAAACTATTCAAGGATTTTGAATTGGATAACAGTAAGAAAAAAGCATCAAAAAGGTTTATATGCCCTCCAACTTTTTACTGAAATATACCTCAATACCAAAAATCTGAAACTGAAATTTCATTTTCAGATTTTTGGTTTTGAGGTATATTTCTCTTTAACTATTTCCTGTATTCCACGATTTTTACTTCATAAACTTTCTACTGAATTTATTTTTTTTATAAAGAAGAACAAAACATTACCAACACCTTGATATGCGTTTTTAATTTTGTTTTGCCTTCATATTTTATTTATCCTTAGGGATCATATGGACTTGTTAAACTTGCGTACAATGAAGAAGATTCAACTCACTACGCAATGAAAATTTTATCAAAACGTCGTTTATTACGTAAAGCAGGTTTAATGAGTCGTGGACCAAAAAAAACAACACAATCGCCTTTAGACAGGGTTTATCGTGAAATAGCAGTACTTAAGAAATTAGATCATCCTAATGTTGTTAAATTGATTGAAGTTCTTGATGATCCTTTAGAGGATTTTTTATATTTAGTTTTTGAACTGGTACATCAAGGTGAAGTTTTATGTATACCGGCAGATAAACCATTAAATGAAGAACGTGCATGGTCAGTTTTTCGGGATGCGTTACAGGGACTTGAATATTGTGAGTATAAAATAAATTCAAACATATTATGTGTATTAGCTTACAATAATAATAATAAAAAATAAGAATAAGCTTTTAATCTTTACATCCGGATTTTTACAACAGTTGAATATAGTTTCGATATCTAAAATAAAACGATACTTTAAGAATAAGTTTCTTATAATATATTGATTTTAATGACAGACGATTTTGTTCTGCGTTGGCATTTAAAAATCTGATGTAAACAGCACATAATCGACCGCATTGTTAAAGTGTTGCCTAGGATTATGACAATTAGCTTCAAGTATTTATTTCAAATTCGATTTTCCTGGCAATTTTCCCAGTTATTTTCGCTAACAACCAAAACTTATTCTATTAATATATTAATTTCAAGAAATTCTGTCAATTAATTCCTGAAATATGGTCAAATATGTAAAATCGGCTCTTAGTGAAAATTTTGTTATTTTTTGAAGAATCCGGTTCTGGAAAGTTACTGGCTCACTGTTTTAATTAGATTTTAAATAAAAATTTTCCAGGAAATCGGTCGATTATTTCTCTGTATATGAGAAAAAATATCAATTTGGCCCATTGTGAAAATCTACTTGCTATCACGTGACTTCCTCAAAAAGTTATATATAATTTCAGGGAAATCTGCTGTTATTTTCTTAAAAGTAGTCAAAAACGTGAAATTGGTTGGCGGTAAAGATCCAGTTTCAAATACCTGAAATATCCAAAAAGTTACTCAAATAGTCTCTCAAATAAGCTCAGATATAAAGTTTCATGAACATCGGTTCAGCGAATACTGAGATATAGATCTGCACAGACAGAGTGATAGACCGAGATATACCCCTCTAATAGTTTATTTATAACCTCACTTAAATGTGATTACTTCCTAATTGTATGCAATGCAGTTGGTACAAAAACTAACGTGCAATATTATAAAGTTGGGATATTTAGACATACAGGATGCTTCAGTTAATATCTTCAAAAATTATTCAAAATCCGTTTTGTGTCTGTTAATCAATTAATAACGTTAGAAATAAATATTTAGTTATATCAAACTGACTAAGTGCTATTGATGTTTACTAGAAATCTCAGTTATCCGCGATACAAATGTTTAAATCAAAAATTATCTTAGTCCTAAAGAAGCAGGACTTTTCCAAAAAAAAGATAAAAAGCAGAATTATATATATGAATTGGTCTTCTCTTCACTAAAAACTTATTTCCATAGAAGAAAATTTTTATCTATCTCCCTCCTTATAATAGTTATAACCCCCTAAAGTCCTAAAAATGCCATATTTGACTATTTGTTGTAACGAAGCCACAAACGTTTGTTAAATGCAAACGCAAAAATGTATAGTGAGATTTTTCTCCCGAAAAAAAAGCCCACCGAAATTTGCAAAATTTCTATTTTTCGGCGCCTTATATTTCTAAAACAGTAAGCATCTCTATATTCCTATAAATGCAAAACGCTAAAGCTAAATGTCTTGCTAACAAAAAATGTAATTATTTTTCCTAACTCACTTACTTAACCGTTCAATTATTATTTTAAAGCTTCTTTAATTTTTATATTTTTGCTTATCCTAAATGCAAGCAATTATTTATATAAATTTGCCATAACAATTAAACTATGTAATTTAAAAAATGTAGCAGATTACTTTTACAAGGAGTAATTTCACTTTTGCAAGAGAAAAGTGCTTTCCATTGCAAACATTGTTACCTAATTACTCGTCGAATGACATTCAAACAATTCATAACTTTTTATAAACTGATTGCAATTTTTATTTTACGCAAATTGTTTTTTATTTTGTTTTTTAAAAGTACTTGCATTTTCTCAGGGGAATTTTTCGTTTGTTTCGAATTCGTTGGAAATAAATTGTAATGCTATATCTATACTAAATTTTATTTGAGAATAATGCTATTTATTATTGATATGGATTATATGACTTATCTGCAAATATTAAAAGTGAATAAATTTTTTAAAATTATTATTTCGATTATTTAATTTATTGTGTATTTATGTTATTTAGCTAAGCTTAAATAAATTTAGTCCTTCGCAGCCTTTATTTGAAATAAATTTCACGAAATAATGATGAAGTTTACTAATATATGAATTAAAGCAAATTGTAGTGATGTCATTGAACTTCAAAATTCAATGAATTTTAAATAAGTTTTTTATGAGTTTACAAAAATATTAAGCAAAAAATTCGATTTTAAATATTATGGTAACATTAAAAACATCCATAAATTTAAAAGTTGAAGAAAAAAATATTGCAAAACTATTATTATTTATAAACATATTTATGTACATACGTATGTTATATTGGAAAACCACAATATTTTATTTCTTTTCCGTTTTGGGAATCTGCCAAATAATAAAATCTCTACAAAATAAGGCCTAGGAAGACGATTTCAAATAAAAATAAACCATGAGGTTATTATAGCGCACAACCACATAAAATAAACTGGTGGCTTTTAAAGTAAGGGGCAAAAAAGTTAATTTGATTTTTACATTTTAATTACCTTTCTCTTTTTGATGATCGAAACTAATACATGAATTATATAAATCCGTTGATATTTTTCTGAAATAAGGTTGATCATATTACATTTATCCTTTGTAAATACTAATTTTGCGAACCTTGGTATCCCACCAAATTGCAGTAGTCATAGATACTTTCTTCTTCAATTATATAACTAATAGACGAACACCCTGTCTGTAAGGTTTTATCAAATATTTATACATTGTGTATGTACGTTTGTTTTTTATTTAACTTTCATAAAATAATTTTCACACAATTTCAATTTAAATTTTGGTGTTTTTTTTCAGGGACTCTCAAATGTAATTATAAAATGCCATTTTTGAACGAAAACGAAAGTTTTTTGAATGTTATAATTATACTTGTTTTAAAAATAGAATTTAATAATAAGAAATACCTACAAGCTATTAAAATGGTTTTAAAAAATTTTCAAAGGTCTTTTTTAATTTGTGTCCACATTTATGTCATGTTCATAAGCTGAAGTGAAAAATTCCTGTAATAATTCTTATTTTCGCTTGAAAAAATTATGAACTTTGTTTATTGTAAAAAATAAAGTATATTGTAGGTGCGCTTGTTTTCTTTCTCAATTCTTTCAATTGAAATTATATGAAATTCAGTAGTATTTGGTACTAAACGTCTACTTATATTAAAATGTTTGTTACAGTTTGGAATCAGTATTTGAATAGAATATATCTTCGCACTTATATTTTTATTTTTTTCTCTTAAACTAAAATAAAATCTAGGAAAATTTTTGAATACAGTGCTTTTGCATTAACAGGTATTTAAAATATTTTTTTTCCTTTTCAAGTTAAACCCTGAATATACTGAAAAAACCGGTAAAAAGCTTTTCTTAAAAATCGACACATATTTTAAGATAAGGTCGTTGGAGACACAATTTTCGGCTACGAAAATTTTTGTTCGACTAAAAAAACTTTTAAGAATAATATATCGATAGGGTTCGCAAATCGGGGTAAATAAGTCTAGTTAATATGATAAATAAGCATATGCAGATAAACGAACAGGCGAAATATGTACATGTTTTTCAAAATTTTTATAATTTTCTTGAAATTATGGCACAGGAAATATATTTGAAAACGCAACATAAATTAAAACTAATTTTCAACAAGTTATAAGTGATGGCACGTACTTGTGAACACGTGCATATGCAGTTTTTTGACCTTACTAAATTTAAATATGCATTTAAAATGTATGTACGAGGGTAATATAATTTTTGAAATATTTTATAACTTTATTTGCTTTCAAATGTAAAATAATAATTAATTTGACCATTTCAGTCTTTTTTTTGTTTGGTATTAAAGTTTGACAAATTTTTTTCATAAAAAAGGTTTTAGTAATTATTTGAATAATTCATTAAGCAAGTAGATTTCTTAATTTTATAAAACTTATATTTTAATAAAAGTTTATTTTAAAAACGATAAATTCTTTCAATGAATTATTGAGTTTTTAAACGCAATCACTTTGAAAATACACAGTAAATATTCATGTTCCAGGTTATTAAAAAAATGCTATTAAAGGGTAAAATAAGTAAATTTTAAATATAATTGAAATACAATTACTAAACTCTTATTTTCTTTAAGCAAATTTATTATTTCGTAAGTGCTTATCAAAATTATTGTTGAAAATTTCTGTTTCTTTACCCTGTGCGTACCATAGCTAAAAAAAATTAAAAGTTTCTTCTGGAAATGTAAAAAAAAGTAAGTATTGAAAATAAATCTAGATGTTGCTTATTTAAAGTATTACCTCCTTACCAATTTCTTTCATTTATTTCTGCACTAACAACTATGGCATAGAAAATTGTGGATATTCTCTTATTTTTCCTTTGGAATAAAACAAAGTTAGTAAATGGTGTAAAATACCCACTTCAAATATATAAACACTACGAATTTCACAGAAAAGTCCTAGAAACAACTAAATAAAAAAAGCATTTTTGCATGACGGGTCTTTTGAATATAACTGAATAAAAAACGACAAGAAATTTAAAAACAACAGAATGACTTGATAAACAAGGATATGAAACAAAAAATGAAGTTAAAGAGAAATACATATCTGTTTACATATATTTACATAATACTATAGTATTCTTATGAAAAAAAGTGCTTCGTTCTAATGTTAATCAAGTCTTTAGAAAATAACCAACTGTATTTTTCCTTAAAAAATTTAATTTTTCTTAATTTTGTAAAATTCGCATTTTATAGGCCAATGCATATAATAATATTCCTGTTCAAAAAATGAAACAGTTAAAGTAACACGGTTTTCTGTAAATTCAATGACGTTTTATTTTACTAACCATTTTTTATACCCTGCACTTCGTGAAGGGTATATTAACTTTGGTATGGAGTTTGTAACTACTTGAAGGAGTCATCTGCGGTATGGACATATATATATATTCTTGCTCAGCGTAAAATTCTGCGTCGATTTAGACATGTCCGTCTGTCCGTCCGTCCGTCCGTCCGATCGCACGAT